AACATTATGATAACAAAGTAAAACAATCCCTAGCCCTTAATCTTATAAAGGAAGTACTATACAAAAGAAGATCATTATTGCTATCCCCATTTTGCACATGGAGAAACTGAGGGAGGTACAGGTGAAGTGACTTAAGTCAGATAACATGGCTGTGGGTGGGGCCAGTGGGATGCCAACCCACCCCTCTCCTTTGTTCATATCTGCCCTTGCAGCACTACTGCAGCCCACTGGTAGAGAATCAGTGTATTAGGGGTCACTGCTTTTTGGAAACAATGAGTACTTGATATGCCACAACTTCAGAAATTTAATCTTTCTGTAGCAGTGTTTCTATTAAAAATTGAGATGGCAATTTCCTGTAATTCTTTTTGAAGTATGTGTATAATTCCCATCATATCAGTATATTATATTTCTAAATTGCCTCCCAAATTATGTATCCAAACAGTATCACTGAATGAAGTCATTGTAAGTGGGGGACTAAACTTCTCTGCAAGGTCCTGTTTGTTCTAAAATGCCCCATGTCAGAAAACTGCAGGGAACCCAGTATCTTGACAGGGTGAAGGACTGTATTGACCTGGACTGTGAGGATAGTTTTTATATTCCAACCTGGACATCCTGGCTGCTAAATCACTCCTGATTTAGGCCCTGGGTATCTTAAAGACCCTTGCTTCCAGCTCTGGTTCTGTCTCACCATGGAGATGAATGTTAGGAGCCCTTCTGTAAGTAGTAAAGATTTAGCATTGTGGCATGTCATCTAGCTCAGGGCACTTGTGAAAAACATGATGTTATAAATCCAAACAGTAATTAGTCTGCACTGGAGTTCCCAAAGTTAAGACTGACACTGATCAGTTATTAACTCTCTGGGGAGAGCTTTGGGAAGTGTCCACTGTAAGTAAGGCTCATAAGCAAGGTTTTTTGTTTGCTGCAGAAAAATGTAGATTTTCTTCTTCAAAGGAGAAAAAAGCCGGAAACAGGCAGAATTCCAGCCAGCTTGGGGTGGGGGAGAGCAGGACACCGGGGGCTCCACGCTCACGCGTGCGTGCACACTAGGGGTGATGAGTAGGAGGTGTATGTGCAACCCCTGTGTGTGGTGGTGCGCCCCCTACTAAAAGGCCTGCCGGCACTCACCACTTGCCACCACCTCACCCTACTCCCCTCCTGCCGCTGACAGCACCGGTGGCACCTGCAAGAGTTCCCACTTACTGCTGCTGCTGTGCCCCTCCAGCTGCTGTGCCTCCCCAGTTGCCAGGGGCATGTGTCATTCATGGTGCGCACACATGCATGTGGTAGCCAGGCAGTGTTGGAGAGCAGATCCTACAGCTCCCTCCAAGTAAGTTTATGGGATGGGGTGGGGGGGCACACAGGTCACATTTTGGGGGGCAGAAGGGCACATTTGATGTCAGGGGTCACATGCCCCCCCATGTTTGTGCTCACAATGGGGTGTGGGGCTGCAGCTGGGCCAGACCAGCTCCAGGAAGGAGCCGCCTCTGCAGCCCAGTGGACAGGACCCCAGTCGGGTGCCCCCTGCCTGCCCAGCAGCAGTGGTGGCACAGCTATGCACTGCTGCACCTTGCCATGGTGGCATGGGACTCTCTCTCACGTTGGGTCTCACCCACTGGACCATGGAGAGATCTCTTGCCTGGAGCTGGTCTGCTCAGGCTGCAGAAATCTGGGGGGGACATGTACTTCCCATAGTGCATGGCCTGTGCCTAAACATCTACCCTCTTCCTCATACACTGGGGACCTGGGAGTGGGGGGCACTGGCAGGGCTGTGGTTTAGTAGTGAAGGGTACTGGCAGGGCTGTGGGGGCTGGAAGTTGTGGGGGGGGTACCGACATGGGCAGGGGCAGGGCATTAGCATATCTGGGCGGCTTTGCACCACAAAGTAGCAGGAGCGGGGAAAGCTGCAGCTGGACGTGCATCCTGGTGAGTGAAGGGGGCAGGGGGAGCTCTGGCTTTGTGTTGTAAATCAAAATCAGATGCCAAAATTATATAGGTGTTTAGAATGTATTTTATTACAATAAATGGTTACAGCCTGACGATCACCTTCTGTGATTCAGATTGTAAGGCTGGAAGGGGCCTTGGAAGATCATTGGGTCCATCCCCCCGCACCAGGCAGGGAAGACAACTGGGGTCAGGTGACCCCAGAAAGGTGACTGTCCAGTCTCCTCTTGAAAATTTCCAGGGTAGATGATTGCACCATCTCTGGAGGGAGCTTATTCCACAGTCTGGACACCCTAACTGTGAAGAAGTTTTTCCTAACATAGAGCCAGAAATGGTCTTCTAGGAGTTTGTGGCCATTACTCCTGGTTTTCCCCAATGGTGCCCTGGTGAACAGTTGTTCATCAAGCCCTTGATGTGCTTCCCTGATGTAGTGGTAAGCTGCTACCAAGTCCCCACTCAGCCTCCTCTTTTTCAGACTCAGGAGTTCCAGGTCCCTCAACCTTTGCTTGTATGACGTGCTGTGCAAGTCTCTGATCATACAGGTGGTCCTTCTCTGGACTCTCTCTAGCTTAGCCATGTCCTTGTTAAAGTGTGGCGCCCAGAACTAGATGCAGTACTTCAGAAGTGGTCTTGCCAATTCTGAGCAGAGGGGAAGAATCACTTCCTTGTTTTTTCTAGAGAAGCATCAATTGATGCATGCCAGAGTATTATTTGCACTGCTGGCTACAGTGTCGCACTGCCGGCTCATGTTCATACTGTGGTCAGTTATTACCCCCAGGTCCCTTTCATTTGTCGTGCTGGTCAGTTTGATGCACTGCCAAGCCTGTAAATGTGTAGGCAATTGTTTGTCCCCAGGTGGAGCACTTTACATTTCTTGATGTTACCTTCATCTGGTTCTGATCCGCTTGATTTGCTAGCCTGTCTAGGCTCGCCTGTATCTGTAGCCTACCTTCAGGTGTGACCATGATTCCCCATAACTCAATGTCCTTATGGCAAAACTGGGGAACTTCTGCCTCAACAACAGTCTGATAGCTTGGGAACTGGCTCCATGGTCAGACCCAGAGAGTGACTGTTGTTGGAACCAGGTCAGCATGGCATATAGTGACCAGTAGCATTCCTCAGGGATCAGTACTCGGACCAGTACTCTTTAATATATTCATTAATGACCTGGATTCGGGTGTCAGAAACAAACTGGTTAAGTTCATGGATGATACCAAACTGTGGGGAAGCGCAGACACACTGGAGAATAGGCTGGAGATTCAGGCTGACCTAGATAGGCTTGCAAGGTAGGCAGATACAAACACGATGACCTTCAACATAGCAAAATGGAAGGTGCTCTACCTTAGGAGGAAAACCCCCCTCATACCTATAGGCTCGGCAATGCTTCACTTGCTAGCACTACGTCTGAAAGAGACTTGGGGGTCATGATTGACCACAAGATGACTATGCGCCACCAATGCGGTGCCACAGCCGGGAAAGCAAATAAAACCCTGGCTTGCATCTACCGATGTATCTCAAAGAAGACCCAAGATGTCATTCTCCTGCTTTATTTGGCCTTGGTGAGGCTGCAGATGGAGTACTGTATCCAGTTCTGGACTCCACACTTTAAAAAGGATGTGGAAAAGCTCGAGAGAGAGTCCAGGAGAGCTACGCACATGATCAGAGGTCAAGAGATCAGGCCATATGAAGAAAGGCTGAGATGCATGAGACTCTTCAGTTTAGCTAAGCGTAGGCTCAGGGGAGACTTGGTGGCAGCCTATATCAGGTGTGTTCCTCAGGACCTGGGAGAACATCTGTGCATCAGGGCTCCCCCAGGGAAAACGAGGTCTAACAGTCACAAACTGCTGGAAGACCATTTTAGACTGGACATAAGGAAGAACTTCTTTACTGTCTGAGTCTCCAGAGTCTGGAATAGACTCCCCCAGAAGTGGTGCAAACTCCAACTCTGGACACATTCAAGATGTGCTTGGATGATTATCTTGTTGGGGTCCTCTGACCCCAGTGGACTTCCTGCCCTTTGGCAGGGACCTGGACCAGATGATCTTGCAAGGTCCCTTCCAGCCCTAATGTCTTTGAAATCTATGAATAATGATTGATGCACTGGTAGGCTTCCAAATTGCCTTAAAATTCTAAATATATCAATAAAACATTGAGTTCAACTGATACCAATATACAGAGCTGTCCCTTGGGGGTGTGAATTGGGGCAGCCGCCCCAGGCCCCGTGCTTTGTCGGGCCCTGCAGTGCTGTACAGGCCCTGCCAAGGGCACCACTACTTTTTGCGGCTGCTGCGGCTTTGCGCTGTGGCTGCTCGCCTCTCCTCCCCCCACAAAAGAGATAGAGAGAGGTGTGTGTAATGGTGTTTCATTTTAACTGCAGGAAAACAGGGATTTGGGGGGGGGTTAATCAGAGCAAACCAGGATCCTTGTGCATGAGATATATTAAGAAACTTTCAGCCTCTCAGTTGCATTACTTTACCACCTCCTCCATCCCTTCATAAGCACTGCATCAGGTGGGAAGAGCCCTACTTTTGTCAGACACTGTACATGCAAAATGTCGTGTGCCCACTTCAAATTTTCTGGTAGGTTGCATTGGATCTGGGGTTGGCTGGAAGAATTCAGCCTGCCAGCAATATTCACTAAAGGTATTTAGGATCTAAAATATGCAAATGCTTTTAAGTAAGCTCCCAGACAGACATTGTGAGGAATAGAACAGAAAGGCATGTTTAAGGGTGAAAGCAATAGAGGTGGATAAAAGAGCAAATGGAGCTTAATTAAGAGAGTTGGAAAACCAAAAAAGAAAACTTTTTCCATCTCAGAATCTGGAGCAGAAAAGATGGGACCAAACTGCTGTCTTTAGTGCATCCTTTGGCATGCAGCAGCCGCACTAGATAACCCGCATTGTAGCTGAAAATGAATTTTGTTGTGGCTCCTCTAAGGGAGCTTTTCTGTTCTGGTTCTGAGCATGGGGAAACTCACAAATAGACCAATTACAGGGCTCATATTCCGCAGTGCTGGGAACAGAAAGGGAAGGGTGGACAGGCTCTGGCTGTCGCTTTAAAAAAAACAATGACCTGCCTGCTGGAGGAGGGGCAGTTTCCTGAGAATCAGGTGCATGTCTGGAGCGATGATGTCATCCTTCTAACTAGACCTGCCTGAGAGAGATGGATGCAGAGGAGGGAATGTTTTCCTAATAGCTGGTCTCCAGCTGGGAGGAGGATTAAACTGACAGCTTAAGGCAGTTTGTAAGTATCAGAAATAGAACTACTGCTTAATTTTTTTTCAAATGTGCAGCAGTGAACTGCAGATTGAAGGTGACATGCACAGCTTGTTTCTAAGTTGAAAATTGCAGATGGACAACAGAGGCTCACTGGGTTGATTCTTCTGATGCAGGTATTGCCTACCTGCAAATGCTTCCTCTGTTGCTTCCTAATAAACTTTCATGGCCAATATTATTGACCTCTTTCTGCAACAGTGAACAGGCTGGATCATTTTCTCAAGAGATTCTGCCTGTTTCCTTCCATTTAAAGAACCAGGGTGATAACCTTTGCTTCTGGGAGAGCATGGTAGTGTGTGGGAGAATGTCTTCCTTATTGTAAATGCTTTAACTAATGTATATGAGATCCCAGTAATGAGATTTCTTTCCAAACTTACAGATCATATGATCTTTCTGTGTATGTGTGGTGTAATTCTTTATTTGTATTGCTTGTCATGCCTCTGACATGCCATTCTGGTTGTCTGCATATATCAGTGCACTGATTTTGAGAACAGTATCAAGTTGGAGGATGAAAGAAACTGTGTAGTCATTGGTATGGTTTGTGGCTTTATTTTTGAAGATGGAACTTATACTGTGGTTGAGTTGCTTCATTTTCTACCTCTGTCTGTTGAATATTATATGTATTTGAACTTCTAAGGAACCTGGGTGCACTTAAAACCCAGATGGTGTTTTCAGGTTTCAAGGTACTTCCTGTGCTTTAAAAGGAGAATACAGGCCTATATATGGTATCCTTAACATTGACCACTATACCCCTGGTTAGAAGCAGCAGTGACTGAGCTGGTGTCTATATCCACAGTGACCAAAATATAACATGCAGATTAGTCAGGCTGTTGTGTGGTGTTCTTCACTCATACCTCCATATTTTAACATGAGATGGAGGGTTTTGTAGAAATTATACTTCTTCCTAAGCAGCATGTTTGTGCCTGGAAGGAGAAAAGGGGCTGTCTGATCTTACTGTAGTGCTTGAGACCTGTATTTTTCATATTTTGATAACACTAAGGCAGGTGTGGGCAATTACTTCAGGTGGAGGGCCGCTTATTGAGTTTTGGCAAGTTCTTGAGGGCTGCATGTGTAGCTCCGCCTCTTTGACAGGTGCCCTGCCCCCTGGCTGCCATTTTGTGACTAGAAGTCCCACCCCCTAACCTCTGACCTTTGCCACCAGAAGTCCCTCCCTTTGCCTCAGGAAGTACTTTTTTCAGCAAGGGGTTTTGCCCTCTCAGAACCAGAAAAATACCAAATTATATTCTAAAAATCAACATCTACTACAATATTCATTAATTTGATTTCAAAATATATTTTTGTCCTGATTTACATGTGTTTGTGTAGTGTACATAGAGGTGATTGCACAATAGCTTAAAATGAAGTTTTACTCTTGTATATTGTGCAAGGAGTGGGGGGTATGGTGGAGTGGGTACAGGTTTGTGGGGAGCTGTGGGCTGAAGGAGCATGGGGGTGTGTGTGGATATGTGGGGTGTGGGTGGGTATGGGGCTTGTGGGGGCTGTGTATGTGGGGGAGGGTGGCTGTGGTGTGTGAGGGGTTGTGGGGGTGGGGGTCTGCATGTATGGCAGTGCAAGGGGGGTGCAGGTGCATGTGTATCGGGGGTGCATGTGGGACACCCCTCACACATGCACACACTGCCCCCCCCCTCATTATACACAAGCGCGCGCACACACACACTGTCCTTCCCTTATTGTACGTGTGTGCACACACTGTCCTTGCCTCATTACATGCGTGCACACAGTCTGTGCCTCATTGAGCACAGACACTCTGTCCCTCCCTAATTGTGCACACATGCACACTCTGTCCCTCCCTAATTGTGCACACACACACTCTGTTCTTCCCTCATTGCACACACACACTCTGTCCCAGCCTCATTGCGTGCACCCACATACATTTTGTCCCTCCTTCATTGCACACACACCAACGTGTACACACTCTGTCCCTCCCTCATTGCACACATGCATATGCATGCATGCTCGCACGCACACACACACACTCTGTCCCTCCCTCATTGCACATGCAGACACTGTGAAAGAACTCCATTTCCGGCCTCTTTTGTTTTTTGTTTTTCTTTCCTTTTTCTTTGTCTTCTCACATGTCTGTCAACCTAGTTGCCCTGGGTTACTGCATACGTGACTGACTATTGTTTGGAGCTCTGACCTCATGACCTAGGGGCAGGGACTTAAGCCCATGTCACTCCAATAGGTAACCGTGATGTTTTTCAAATTGATTGGCTGGCATCAAATGACACCTATCCCTGACCGGGTACAGGTGGTGAGGTCAGAAGGGCTATTTAAGAGGTCCTCTCCAGGAAGAAGGAGGTTGGACATTTTAGAAATCATACACAGAAGCGTGGACCTCTGCAGCTCTCTCTCTCATACTCAGGATAAGGAAGTGAATAACTTACCAGAAAGTTAACTAGAAACTTAGATTAATGTATTCTAGTTGCGTATCAAGGGCTACCAAGCCTCTCTGTTTGCTTAGGATAATTCTTTTGATGCTTGTCTGACTTGTACCCCTCCCTAAACCTACCCTTTTTACCCAGTAAAGCTATACACTAAAGCAGGGGTTTTCAACTGGGGGTATGCATACCCCTGGGGGTACTTTGGAAGGCCCCAGGGGGTATGCAGTAGCGGTATGGAGAAGCTACCGGCACTTCCAGGTTTGCTGCTGCGTGCCATGCCAGGGGACCCCTCCCTTCCCCTCTCATTGACCGCCACTGGGGGACACCCCCCTGCCCACTCTGGCTGGCCACTGGGGGTACCCCAACTGAAAAAAGGTTGAAAATCCCTGCACTATAGCAAGCTTTGTGGTACATGCTCGAGAGGGATTGGGCACACCTTTGTGCTCCCTTTGCTTGGATGACTAAGGGAGGTTACTTTCCATGCTTCAGGTTAAAGGAAGAACCCCAAGATTTTGCAGAGTCAAGCACCCTCAAGGTCTACAAGGTCTGTGTACAGGGTCCAAACAAAGACTAGACCCTGGGTGGTGGCAGCGGTTACCCCAGGCTTATGGGTATGCTTCAGGAAAGGGGTCAGCCTGACATAGGTGCCCCAGGAGAGGCAGTCAAGGCTTGGTTTTTTGTCAGGCACAGTTAGGTGGGTGGCTTAGTGGAGGAGCGCCCCCTACTGGCCTGCCACACACACCCACACTCTGTCCCTCCCTCATTCCATGTGTGCTCATGCACACACTATCCCTCCCTCATTGCTCTCCCTATCTACCCCTCCCTCCCTTCCTCATTGCATAGACACCCCCCACCCCCGCTTCTGGCCCTGGGGTACTGGTGCGGAGCCCTTTGCTCCCACAGTTTGGTGATGCAGCTGGGAAACATGGTGTTGGAGCAGCCAGTGGGCAGGTGGTGGCAGGCAGGAAAGTGGGGAACTGGCAGCTATGGGCAGGGAGCAAGTTGACGCACAAGACAGCAGTGCCAGTTGGGCGAGACTGCAGGGCCTGCACTCGGTGTCCCAGGCCAGTGCTGGCGGGGCCCAGGGTGAGGCGGCAGGAGCATGGGGCCTGGGCCGGTAGGGGCTGTCTGGATCCAGGCTGGTTCTCCCTTCTCCCTGCTGGTGCAGCCCAGCCTGGCTCCATAGAGCCCCTGCCTGCCCAGGCCTTGCTGCTGCGGCTGCTTGTTCCTGCCACTGGGTCCTACTGCCCTGGCTGCTGCCATCTTTGACACATAGCTAGAGGCAGATAAATATTAATTTTCTGAAATTTTTAGGGGCCCTGACAGTCAGATGGAATGGCCTGTCAGTCCTGCACTAGGGAGTCCTGCATCAGGATGTGTGTATACAGCGCCTAGCCCAACATCCCAAAATTTCGTGGTCTAACTGTTTCAGAACATGATTTGCTAGTGAACATGTTTCATGTGCTGTGTCAAATACTTCAGAGAAATAGATTTGTCAATATTCTCTATGTAAGTATGTGTAATAATAATAATTTGTACAGCAGTAGCAGTGTTTACTTAAACTGTTGCTGAAAATGCAGTGTACATTTATTTTTCTAGCCTAGAGGTATTTGGTCTGTATGGGGTTGACAGTGCTCCTGGATGAAAGTTGTTCTATTTAATGCATTTTATTTTGGTAGACCAAAGCAACTCTTAATGCAAGATCAAGATAAATACAGTGCCGTGGGGGTGGGTGCAGAGGTGCTTTTCACACTCCCCTGGCCATTGGCCACTGTACCAGACAACAATGGCAGCTTGTGGTCACCTGTGTGGAGGACAGCTCTGATCTTGCCCTCTGATGGTAGATGAACGCTAGATGGGTTTATACAAACCATTCTGGTGTTTATATTGTCCAAATGTTCTCATGTTCAAGCACAATCTTTCTGGAGTTAGGACTAATTTGTTCAAGTGGAGGAAGGCAAAAATGTTCAGTGTGGCCTATCTGTGAGTTGCAGCATGCACTACTGAAAATATCTGCATCAGATATTTTACCATATTTAGTATTTTTTGGTGTTCTGTACGGTATCTGGGCTGTTTTCATTCTTCTGCCAAGCTCATTTTACCCCCCAAAAAGCTTAGGTGGTTAAAATAGGTGCTACAGAGTTCCTTCTGTGCCAGGGGAACATCATGTGGGAGTAAAGCTGGAAAAGGGGGTCTGTCACCTGAGTCTCGCCTACTTTGCTGCAACCCTTGCTCCTGGCATGAGGGTGCAGGATAGAGCAAGGATCCACTGTACTTCCTTTTCCACTGGCAAAAGGTCCCTCTGATCTTATGCCAGCAAACTAGCTAACACTTTCTACCCGGCTTTAAGTTGGTATGGACCTACTGGCTTCCTCTCCTCATCATGGTTCAATTTTGCTTAAAGTAGGAGCTCAAAGTCTTTTCAAATGATGGGCTGGGACAGTCTGGCTCCAGTTCAGTGTGGGTCAGGTGTCTTTAGCAGCATCACCAGTGAGGGAGTTTTGGCAAGCAGCTGAGAGCTGTACTGCTGCTTTTCCCAGTTTTCTGCTCCCCAGCTGAGGTA